ACAAGTTACTTTAGTTCATTGTGAGCCTTTTTCAACGTAATATAATACAGATAACACTACCCCACTTGACTGAGAAATTTGAGACATTCCCAGGGCTGTACAGTGAAAAATTTAAGGGGGTCTGAATACTTTCCGTACCCACTGTATGTCGCACCACGTGCTATGAAAAAATCTGTCTGTGCGATGAATAATTCAGAACAGTAGCACACAGCGATATAGTGTGTATCTGAGCCTGCTTAAAAACCTGTTGTTAAACAAATAATTTTAAGTCTTTTTTTATTTTATTTGTAAGTTTAATTGTTTTTAGTCCAAATTCACTTAATAACATCAGTCGAGTGTTTGAAATAACTGCCTTTGTTGATCTGACATGGTTTCTTATCACCGAATGTGGCAGAAATCATACTATTATATAATTCTATACAGTGATAAAAGTCGATTAGCATTGCATTATAAATATACTTTATTCTTGAATAAAGCTCCACTTTGAGCTCCGCTAGAGGGCACTCCATCCCATACCTTTGCCACTCAACCCCAGACTCAAATTCCTAGGCAGAGGGTTATGGAAAATGGTTATTGGACTTCAGCTATTTTCAATCAGGAGGACTATAAAGGTTGCACTCACACACATCGCTGAGTATTGTTTAGCCTATAATGTTTTCTAGTTTCTGTTTTTCATGCTTGTGTTTTCCTTTGGCTTTGCATTGCCTTCATGTATTTTGGATCTTGGACTGTTTACCTGTTTTTTTTTATGATTGTTTTGCTGCCTGCCCTGACCATTGCCTATTTACGGATTACTCTTTTGGATTACCTTGGATGTTACTGTTTGCTGGTATTTTGACCATGCCTGTTCTTGACTACGCTCTTTAAATAAAGCCTTGCACTTGGATCCTCAACTCTGTTGACCCGCTACCAACGTTACTGAATACTCAGCCAAACCCAGATCCATCTGCTTTTTTGAGTGTTTTCCCAGACAGCTATGGACACAGCAAGAAGGTTAGTTGGCCTCTGACAGGGAATGCGTTCCCTCGAGGACCACATCCAAGACTTTCTGAACATTGCTTACATTTCTGATCTCCCGGACCTTATGTTGATTTTTTTTTGTTATGGACTTAATGAATCATTAAAGACTAAACTCACCCGAGATGGTCCTCGAGGGTCACTTTGTCAGTTTTTAGACTTTGCACTCTTGCAAATTGGTTCCTCCTTTACTGTGGGAGAGGCAGGGGACTGTAAAACCCCTAATAGTTTTGGAAGGGACCAACATCGGCAAGCTCCAGTGGTCATGGAGCTTGGCCCGTCAGTGCAACCACCATGTCCAGCTATTAGGATAGCAACTCCTGTGATTTGTCTTGTGGTCCCCGCACCTGAAACTCATCTCAAGATGGCTGCCAGCCCAGAGATTTTCACAAATTGGCCGCCATTCCAGAGCCTGCTCACGTCAAGCCTGCCAAGCCGCCTGTTCATGTTAGGGCCATCACTCCAGAGTCTCCGGCCAAGATGGCCGCCACGCCTAAACCTCATCATGTCATGGCAGCCACGCCAGAGCCTCCAGCCGTCAGGGATGTTAAGCCACAGTCTTCAGCCATCACAGATGCCACTCCAGTGTTCCAGTATGTAAATGTCACAATGGAAGAGACTCAGGCATTCTACAGGCAATTGAGGCTAATTTCCAGTATGGCACACCCACCGCTGGTTTCAACCAGAGCTGCTGGCATCCCTGGTGATTTCAACGCTCTCAAGCAGTGCAGTCTCAGCGCTCTCAAGCCCACCAGCTGTTACGCACTCAGGCCTGCCGGCCACTACACACACAAGCCTGCAAGTCGCGATGCTCTCTAGTTTACTGGTCACAGCGCCGTCTGTCTCGGAAATAGACTCTGTGCTCTCTGTCCTGCCTGTGATGGCTACGGCCATTCTATGTGTTTGGGCCGCACACACCGCTGTAGCTCCTCCAGAGGTGGCAGCTTCTGCTGCAGAACCTTCCAAGGTGGTGGTGCCCGCTTCAGTCCCGAGTCCGCTCCAGAGTCTGCTCCAGTTCGCAAATCCATTCCTGAGCATGCTCCAGTCCCCAAATCCACTCCTAAGCTAACCACTGAGGGGATCTTCGGTCCCGTCTGCTCTGCTGTGGGGATCATTGTACCCGTCTGCTCCACCCTGGAGATCTTCAGACCAGTCTGCTCAGTCCTGGTGCTCTTCTGCCCTGGTGGTCTTTAGCGCCGCCTGCTCCACCCTGGTGGTCTTCAGCTCCGCCCTGGAGGTCTTCTGCTCCGCCTTGGGGGTCTACAGCACTGCCTGCTCAGTCTTGGATTCCTGCTCCGCCCTGGCACTCTGCTCCGCCTTGGCTTCCTGCTCTACCGGCTCCACCTTGGTACCTGCTCCATTGTCTCTGCCTCAGTCCCCTGTTCCTCTACTTCTGATTTCAACGCTCTCAAGCAGTGCAGTCTCAGCGCTCTCAAGCCCACCAGCTGTTACGCACTCAGGCCTGCCGGCCACTACACACACAAGCCTGCAAGTCGCGATGCTCTCTAGTTTACTGGTCACAGCGCCGTCTGTCTCGGAAATAGACTCTGTGCTCTCTGTCCTGCCTGTGATGGCTACGGCCATTCTATGTGTTTGGGCCGCACACACCGCTGTAGCTCCTCCAGAGGTGGCAGCTTCTGCTGCAGAACCTTCCAAGGTGGTGGTGCCCGCTTCAGTCCCGAGTCCGCTCCAGAGTCTGCTCCAGTTCGCAAATCCATTCCTGAGCATGCTCCAGTCCCCAAATCCACTCCTAAGCTAACCACTGAGGGGATCTTCGGTCCCGTCTGCTCTGCTGTGGGGATCATTGTACCCGTCTGCTCCACCCTGGAGATCTTCAGACCAGTCTGCTCAGTCCTGGTGCTCTTCTGCCCTGGTGGCCTTTAGCGCCGCCTGCTCCACCCTGGTGGTCTTCAGCTCCGCCCTGGAGGTCTTCTGCTCCGCCTTGGGGGTCTACAGCACTGCCTGCTCAGTCTTGGATTCCTGCTCTGCCGGCTCCGCCCTGGCACTCTGCTCCGCCTTGGCTTCCTGCTCTACCGGCTCCACCTTGGTACCTGCTCCATTGGCTCTGCCTCAGTCCCCTGTTCCTCTACTTCCTCATGGACCTGGCCCTCCCCCTGTTCCGCCTCCACACCACCTCCCTCCTGGACTCATTTCTGTTCTCATTTAGGAGCATCTGGAAGCCAATCCTTAAGGGGGAGGGGGCTATGTTACAATCTCCAGCTGGAGTGCCCATGAGCTCTGCTAGAGGGCACTCCATCCCATACCTTTGCCACTCAACCCCGGACTCCATTTCCCATAACCCTCTGCCTAGGAACTCGTTATCAGATTTCAGCTGTTTCCAATCAGGAGGACTATAAAGGTTGCACTCACACACATCGCTGAGTATTGTGTAGCCTGTAATGTTTTCTAGTTTCCGTGTTTCCTGCCCTTGTTTTCCTTTGCCTTGCCTTCGTGTTTTTTGGATCTTGGACTGTTTACCTGTTTTTTTACTATTGTTTTGCTGCCTGCACTGACTATTGCCTGTTTATGGATTACTCTTTTGGATTACCTTGGATGTTACTGTTTGCTGGTATTTTGACCATGCCTGTTCTTGACTACGCTCTTTAAATAAAGCCTTGCATTTGAATCCTTAACTCTGTTGTCACGCTCCGAACGTTACACCGAGATAGCTTGAAGAACAGATAAACCATATCGTATACTGTCACAATCATATGTTTATTAGATTGATGTTTCATCAGGTAAAATGTCTCTATCTGCATTTTATTCAGTTACACTGATAGCTGGATATCTTTGTCCATTTTAGGGATTTCCTGGAGTGTCTTCAGTTCTATTACTTCTGTGAGTCTCACTTGTGGAGTTTCTGCACAAGGGCGCCTTCGGCTACCAGTATGAATGAAACAAACATTACATTACGCGTGTGTTCACTAATGCTCCCACAACCCCCTATTTTGGATAAAAATTTGAGAAATAACTCCTTTTCTCTAAAGAAATTGGAAGTAAACATCCATATCCATACATTTTTCTCCAGTGTAAAGAAGTGAACAGGGGTTATTTTTCTTTCAGTGGATGCATAAGATTTCCTGACAAACATTAAGAAATTACTGTGACAGATGTTTTATCATAATAATGTAATATTTTATAATAAAACCGTAGACATTTCTAATGATTTATAGTTATATGCCCCTGCACGTTATCGGGGTAAACAAGTGTAAATTATGCTTGCACACTAATTAAAGCATAATAATTATTTTGAGTTGTTTCCAAGGACAAGAGGCAGAAACACCCTGCAATGTAGAATGTGGCCTGGGTGATGGTAAATAGTTTTTTTTCATCAGCTTAGTCTTTACTCTGCTTGTGTTCTACATGGTGGATGTTCAACCTGGATACATTCATTAGCTCTTCAAAAAAGTAATTTTGTATTAATGTATTAATATGATGTGAGGTCCAGTTACCAGCGTGACATTGAAACAGGTCATAGTAATGGCTACTTTTTACTTAAGTACATGTCAGAGCCTATACTTCTTTACTTTAACTTGAGTGAAAAAAGTGTAGTCAGTACTTCAGTCTTTTTAAACATGAGTATCTGTACTTCTACTTGAGTGAAGGATGTGTGTACTTTTGCCATCTCTGGAGACCAGGTTGTTTTTCTCCACTGTTAAACTTTATTGGATGAATCATAGACACATCACTCTTCATAGATACACAGCTGGGCTCTGATTCTGAGCTCTTCTGGTGAACTGAACTATAACAGAAAGAGAGAGAGTAAAGTTCATCCTTTAAATTACTGCATGCAACAAATCAACTATATGTTTATCACTATCAATTTCACTTTAAAGAGCACTTGATAAACATCTCATACACTGTGTTTAGACAAAAATAATGAACTGAACTTTGATAATATATGATAATACAAAATGTCATGTTATAATCATATTTTTATACAAACACTATACCTGAGACCACACGGTGAATCTCCACTGTTAAACTTTATTGGCTGAATCATAGACACGTCACTCTTCATAGACACACAGCTGGGCTCTGCTTCTGATTTCTTCTGATGAACTGAGCTAAACAGATTTAATCCTTTATAATGAGAATCATCTTAATATAATAAGATAATAATCTTAATACATTTCAAAAATAATTTTTATGAAAAACACTTGAGGAGCCTTGATAGTCTTATTGTTTTAATAAATATTAAACTTTGTAGTGAACAGCAGTCAAGGTGGCAAACCCCCTTTCCACACAATGGGTCTCATTTATCCATATAACGTAGAAACGAGCGCAGATCCGTATGCAGAAATCATCTTACAACAGGGTTCACGTGTGATTCATGAAAACATTCGTATCATACAAATGATCGTATGTTGATAAATGTGATGGCTGAAAACAATCGTCATTTGAATATCACGCTCCTAAAAATACCCCGGTTTAGAAGCCTTGCCCCTAGAAATTATGACATGGAGATACATAACCTGGCCAAAACGAGGAAGTAATCTAATGAAAGAGAAATGGATCTTACTCCAAAAAGAGCCGTTGCATTTGTAATTGCAAACAATTACATTCATTTCTATGTATATTAAATATTGTTAAATATAACAAAACATTTACAAACATTATAAACACATATAGCCAATTTAGTTCCACTTACTCCGCAACAAATCCTTTACATTTAACAGAATTCAGAACAGAACAAGAATGAAAAATAAGCAGCTATATAATTAGATATTAAACTATGAAATAAAACACAAATTAGGCTGAAGTGGCATTCATTATAAACAGCATAGAAATAGCAAGCTAAAATGAAGTTATTTAAAGCGAAATTGAAATGGCATTGCGCTCACGAGCCTCTCTCATTCAACAAGAATCCAAATGTTTCCATTTTTCCATGTAACATTTGGTTGCTAAACTATTATTCATTATGTAAACCAGGCTTTGTACTTCACTCGTGTTACAATATCCGTGTAAAACATCATCCTTCACATGCGCTAAAATGTTTGTTTGTTTGTTTGTATTTATTTTATTCATTTTATACTTAATTTCTATTTTTCTCCATTCACAGAAGCGTTTCTAGTAGGGCTGTCAACATTAAGGCGTTAACACATGCGATTAATACAAAATCCTTATTGCGTTAAAATAATTTAACTCAAATAAGGCAAATAAATTACTGAAACACACAAAGGTGCGTCATTAACGTAATTTGCATCTTGCAGTTGATATTGGGGGTCGGGAGTTTATCACTCATAGCACTTCAATGGCGCAAGCACCAGTAACTCTGGTAGGCAGAAATTTATCTTAAAGAAAATTGGATGGCACTCTGGATAAACGCAAAGTTGTGTGCATACACTGTAACAAAGAACTGGCCTACCATCGAAGCTCATCGAGTTTAAAATATCATCTAAAAGCAAAACACATCACAGGTTCTACTAGCAAACTGACGAGTAGTGTGCAACAACCCACACTGGATCAGTGTATACGGCGTGAGAGTAGACAAACGTCAGCCAGGCTTACTACTTCCATAGCAAAGTGGATTGCCAAGGACTGCCGTCCAGTCAACATCATTGCTGACCAGGGCCTGAAAGAAGTGATCAGGATTGCCACTTCCGACCCATCGTTTGAGCTACCGTCAAGATCAACAATCACGTCCAGGATTCACGAACTGTACATTAACGAAAAGAAATGCAAAGTAGAGCTGCTATCACAAACAAAAAGTGTTGCTTTGACAGGGGACCAATGGACATCGGTAAGCGCGCATAATTACTTGGGTACAACTGCGCATCTCAACGATAAAGTCATTTGTATTTTAATTTGATGAAAAATGTTCAAAGTTCATATTAAAGTGACTTGATTCTGAATTTGGTGTCTAGACAAAGTTTGCTGAGGGTTCTCTTTGCTGGATATAGCAATTTTGTAAATTTATGACAAAAATAAACATGTTCTAGAGTATCAGACCGAATCAGACAATTTAAGATTTGGTCAAGACCATAGTTGAAACACGAGGAGCCAAATTCCACAGAGGCCCAAGACACAGGATGTTCGTAATTCAGATCCTGGCGCCACAAGCCTGAAGCAAGCCCACCAACTAGCAGCTTTGAGTAGCTCACAGCATTTAAACAAAAGAACCCTTATTGACAATTCCAAGGAGATTGTCATTTTTGGGGCAAGTAATCAAGATTAATGGTCAAAAGAGATGCACAGCATGACCATCACATGTAAACCAGTGATCACGAGCTCTTCGGATTCATTTTCCCCACCTCGACAACAAAGAACAGACTGAGATTCCTTACAGACCTCTTAATCTCTGGTCTTCACAGAACATACATTCACAGAATGGCACAGAAACTGCCTTTCCATGCACCTAAATGACACTAAAATGACTTGTGAGCAACTAATCATTTCTATGCATAACTCCATATTGTGTATGTACTGTAAGGATAAAAGAAACTCAGATACTTTGATCTCCTGAGAAACAAACAATACACTGGCATCTTCAAGACGCTTCTCTCACATATGCATTGGTTCCTCCTCATCCCCTTCCTTCCCCTCACCCATCCTTCTCTTCACCCAGCTCACTCAGAATGGTCAAGAATGTAATGTTCTATATGAATGCAAATAAGATTTACAGTCATGTTTGTTTTGAGAATTTGATGTCTTGTATTGATTTGATATCGTTGAATTGGCTGTGGAGATAATTGGCATAATACACATTTACAAGACTGTTAATAAATTGTTACATTTGATTTATTCTGACTTACTCTGAAATTATTTTCTCAAGTAGAATAAGTGAAGGCTTATGTTTTCCGCAAATCTGCATCCAGGGTTATGTGCATACTAGATCTCAGGATTAGATGAAGCATGGGGCGCATCAGGTGAGATTCTAGATTTCTGACTAACCGCTTGACCTTATAGTTTAAGTTGTACTCAGTTACGGTAACCATGTATATGATTTCAGAGTTAGTATTAGCCACAAACCTCTGAATAAGGAGTAGAATGGCAAGTTAGCGGCCGCCGTGAGGCATCCTAAGCGACATAGATTCCTAACGAACGAGTAAAATACAAAGTAAAGAGTTAATTAGAATAATCGAATGTCAGAATAATCAGAGACCGACAAACAACCAATCTCCCTTTCAACCTAAATTCGAGGTCATACTAAAATGGAGTCAGTTTGAGTTAAACCTAAATTGAATAACTCTGCGCGCTGAAAAGACCGAACACGCGAGAAACCTTCATCCGCCACTGGATACCTTCTTTGGGCCATGTGCGCGGACCTTACAAAGTGGTGACCCTCGGACGTGATCTCCCTACAAAGTGGTGACCGGCGACGCGTTCACCTTACAAATTGGTGACCGGCGACGCGATCTCCCAAAACAGGCGAGTGACGTTTTTTTCAGCGCAATATGGATTTGCACCGAACAAAGGGTTTGATCATCTCTTTCTCTTTTTCCAGCTGCTGTGGTAAGTCAATTCTTATTTGCCTTGTAGAAATATTGAGGGAAAGACAGACGCATCCCATATATACACATTTGTAGAATGAGTCGGTATACTCATATTGTTAGACCGGAGACCGGATCCGGTGGGTTTGAGAATTAGACGAAACCACGTAATTGTCAGTGACATGATAGCGGCAGCGTAGACGAGGAATGACACCCCTTGTTCTGAAATGGAAATATCTCTTTGTTTGCCTAAGCAACAAGAGATGAAACTTAAAAATTGGAATACCATCATCCAAATTATATTCTGGTACTCAACAGAGAGTCATAAACTAGAACCTAAAGTTTTAATCTGCAAACTGCCTTCTCTGTTGTTTTATTTGCTTCATTGCAACAAATGAGCAACATTTTAATGAGAATGAACAAACAGAATACAAATTCCAAATTAATAAAAAA